TGATGTCCTTACTTCCTTGCCTACAAAGAGTGAGCGCATCCTTCGAGTAGAAATGTCTGCCTTGCAGACGCATTTCTACAAGAATATCCTGACAAAGGTAGGCTTATATTTGACTGGCTATTAACTCTCGCTAATCCTCGTCCAGAACTTCCAGGGGTTGGTGAAGAGTGCGAATGGGAATAACAACATCAGTCTTCTGAACATTGCCATGGAGCTGAAGAAAGCTGCGAATCACCCTTATCTCTTCGACGGTGCCGAAGTGCGCACTGATGTTAACGATGACACTCTCAAAGGCCTTGTCATGAACAGCGGAAAGATGGTTCTCCTTGACAAGCTCCTCGTACGCCTTCGGCAAGATGGTCATCGTGTGCTCATCTTCAGTCAAATGGTCCGGATGTTAGACATCTTGAGTGATTACATGAGTCTTCGTGGGTACCCACATCAACGTCTGGATGGCATGGTCGCCTCAGATGCGAGGAAGAGATCAATTGCGCATTTTAATTCACCCGGATCGCCCGACTTTGCCTTCCTGTTGTCGACCCGTGCAGGCGGTCTCGGTATTAATTTGGAGACTGCTGATACTGTCATTATTTTTGATGTATGTGGGTCATTGTGTGACATACGTATGATTGACGTCTTTCCAGAGCGACTGGAATCCTCAAAACGACTTGCAAGCCATGGCACGTGCTCATCGTATAGGGCAAAAGTCCCATGTCAGCGTCTACCGTTTCGTCAGTAAGGACACGATGGAGGAGGACGTTCTCGAAAGGGCCAAGAAAAAGATGGTGTTGGAGTATGCCAGTGAGTAGTAACATCTTGATCTAATCCACTTTTGATCTCACCTATATCATGCTAGTCATCAATCAAATGGACACTTCACAGGCACATCTGAGCTCTAACCCAAAAGGCGAGAAGGTCAAGGATTCCACGAAGCCTGACAATCTTAGCAAAGACGAGCTCACTGCAGTTTTGAAATATGGTGCCCAGAAGATGTGAGTAACGGTGTTCCCCTGGTCAGGCGCTCCGCTAACCCTATTTCCAGGTTCGACAAGGACGACTCGCAACAGAACCAGAAGCTTGACGAGATGGACCTTGATGACATTCTCAACCGCGCCGAGGACCATGAGACAATGGCCGCTGGCGGCGATGGCGGCGCCTCGCTTGGTGGTGAAGGCTTCCTCGCTCAATTCGCTGCCGTGAGCGACGTAAAGAATGACATGAGTTGGGAGGACATTATACCCATTGAGGAGCGGCACAAGTTTGAGAAAGAGGAGGATGAACGGAAGGCTGACGAAGTGGTTGCGGCGGAACTCAGGGATCGCAAGCGCACCCATGCACCTGTATCCTATGAGGGCATGGATGTCGATCATCCTGCACCAGCGCCTGCTCCGAAGAAACCCAAAATCCCAGGACCCCAGAGAAAGACTGCTAGTCAAAAGGCCATGGAGCTTAAAGAGCGAGACGTCCGCGTTCTTATTCGAAGTTTGCAGCGTTGGGGCGACATTCGTCAACGTTACGATGTTATTGTGAGTAGATTGTCGTTTCTCACAAATCAGAACTCACGAGCCGCGTTTCCTCTGTAGGTCAATGAATCTAAACTTGGCGACAAGCACAAGGCCATGATCATGGACGTCTCCGACGAGATTATCGAAGTTTGCACGCAAGCTGTCGAGCAGAATAACCAGGAAAAGCGGGAACGTATGGCGGCAGGGGAGACCCTGACTAATGCCCAGAAGAGCAAGGCCGTCCTGGTTACTTTCCGCAATGTCGGAAACATCAACGCGGAGACCGTGCTATCACGGTATCGCGACCTTCGCATTCTGAACAATATTTTGGGCGAGTTGAGTACGGAGGAGCTCTACAATTGGTCCATTCCGATTGAGAACATCAGACCGACTCTCAACTGGTCCGGGCGGTGGGGACCGCAAGAGGATGCGATGCTTCTTGTTGGCGCCTTCATATATGGGTTCGGCAACTGGGAGGCCATGGCGAAGGATGTGCGGCTAGGCCTCCAAGGCAAATTCTTTTTGGAGGAAGGCAAGAAGGGGGAAGACGCGACAACTCGGCCAATTCCCAATGCTATTCACCTCGTCCGGCGAGGTGACTTCCTCCTTGGGCTACTTCGCGAGCATGATGAGAAGCTACGTTCGTACGAGAGCTCTTTACGGAATAAGGGTCATTTGAAGGGTTCGGCCACTCCTCCCCCAACAGCTGTGGCATCGTCGTCATCATCACCTCCGATCGGCCGGAAACGGCGCGCGGAGAGCGAGGCCGTGGCATCCATCGATGATGGTGGAGCGAAGCGACGCAAGAGACGGCCTACTCCCACCTTCACGGACTCCGAATCGTCGGACGAATGGTAAGTCTCGTGCTAGACTATAAGTATTATGGATCCTGACACAATTTTAGCCCATCGATGGATGAGGCTGCGACGAAAGAAGAGTTGAGACCAGTCAAGAAGCAGTTGGTAAGTAGTTCCAAGTAGTTCCTTGTGATGTTCGAACCACCGTTAATTCTTTGTGTAGAAACAACTGAAGTTGTCCGGCGAGGACATGCCTCGCGACGACAAAGTTGCCATTCTCAAAGATTCTTTAGCCGCTATTGGACGACGCATCGAGATTGTTCTTCAGAATAAACAAGCCGCTGGAGAGGACCGAGAACGATGGCGTCGACATCTTTGGGCGTGAGTACTAAAACCTAGACTAGTTGTATGGATGTTCATCTTTGACCACAGTTTCGTGACACTTTTCTGGCCCAAGAAAGTCAAGGCGTCGAAATTGGAAGACATTCATGCCAAAATGGTGATGAAGGAAGCTGCACCACGAGCGTCTGCGGAAGCCTCGACGTCTGCTAAGAAGCCTCGGCCCATTACAGGTGGCAAGAGCAATGGCACACCATCTACCACGACGAAGGCCAATGGCAAAGCCCATCGATAGTACTTCATTAATATTTTACTCATACTCACTCTTGTGCTTTGGATCTTACCCGTGTTTTTGCTTTCACGCTCTCTGGCTATCACAATTAACTTTTTTAAGTCAGGTTGCAATATTCCACGATTCCTTTATCCTTTATGATGCATGTATCAAATTATCAATTACATTCTCGACCGCGATGAAATTTTGATTTCTGCGGCTCCCAATTACAGCAAAATGAACTGTACAAAAATTGATTTCATAAAACTGAACTCCACGGGACCACGTCTCACTATCCTCCCTCTTTTGCCAACTCTGCTTTGTCAACTTTTCTCGATGTCCATCCGTCCGAGCCTCCAGAACTGCGCCAACTTTCTCAAAGTTTCGGGCTCTTGGAATAATGCATACACTGTATCATAACCCCTGCGAAGACTGGGTCTATTTTCGGCATGGAAGCTAGCGCTGTTACGCATCTGCCATTATCGTTGGAGCCTCCACGTATGCCATGCTGATACTGTTACACTCGAATTGGTGACCGTCCCTACACTCGCTGGATGCGCATTACTATTCAATCGTACGTGCAGAATGAAAGAGCCTGCATGAAAAAGGGCGCTGATGTGTGGAAGAGATCCGTGCCATAGCTGGCATGACAGCGTGGTAATAGTACTACACAGCTAATGTAACGGTTGTGTTGCCTACAAGGCGGCCCATCTGTTCAATCTCATTCCTGTCAAAGTTCACAGCTACGCTCTCCGTTCCTTAGCCTATCCGTTTTCGACCGTTCCGATTTGGCTTAAATACTGTCGTTAGTCATGGCGTTAGGGCAGAGTGTTTGAAACCCCCAAATTGGAGACTTTCAAATCCGCGTTTGAACGTCCCTCACGCGCCAAGTAGTCAGCAACCCTGGTGACTGGTGAGCGCCTGCATAGGTTAGATTACCGAAGTCTAACCATTTACTAACACCAACATCCCTTAAGCACGCTCCTCATAGGCTAACGCAATATGTTGGGGTTGCTTGACATAGCCAAAAAAGTGTATCTCAAAGTATGGCCTACACGGCCTGCCAGTGCACAGACAACACAACCGGCGCTGATGCGTACGATAGAAGGGCACACAAGTAAAGTGAAGGCAGTCGCGGTCTTCAATGACAATCGACGAGTCGTCACTGGTTCATCAGTCAGCACCCTGCAAATTTGGGATGCGGAAACAGGAGCATCAATTGGAGGACTATTCGAGCCAGAGGGACGCATCATAGGTGGCAGTGTGCGATCACTCGCCGTTTCCCCAGATGACAGGCTAATCGTCAGTGCTGGATCTTACGGTATCGTCGTCTGGGACGTCAAGAGAATGCAGATGCTATATGAACTGTGGTCAATGCCGGTGAAGTCGGTGTGCTTCTCGCCTGATGGCAAGAGACTCGCAGCTGGCGGGCCGAGCGATGATGAGGTCCATATATGGGATGCAAAGACCTGTGATGTCTTGGCAAGCCGTAGACGGAGGCCAAGACGTCGCAACCTTTCAGATCCTGCGGTGTTGGGAGTAGCATTCAGTCCAGATGGACTCAAACTGGCGTGTGCATCATCGAGCGGCTACATTGATGTTCGGCGCACCGATAACCTCAGGCGACTTTTCCGGTTTTACGCTGAGCCACTAACAGTATCCTCGCCAGTTCGAGGCATCGTGTGGTCACCTGATGGCCAGCAACTTGTCTCCATATCACACAATAAACTCCAGTTCTGGAACTCGTCGAATGGACACCAGATCGGCCAAGCTTCCGGTCGCAAGCGCTTTAACTCGCTCGCCATATCTTCTGATGGCTCCTTCATTGCCACTGCCTCGAACGACAAAACCGTGCGGCTGTGGTGCACAAAAACACACCAGCAGATAGGAGAGGCCCTTAACCACACCGTCGTGGCTACTTGCGTTGCAATTTCTTCAAATGCAGAACTGCTTATGAACGGAAGCAAGGATGGAAAGGTTCGGGTCTGGCTGGTCGAGAACGTACTTTCCACAGCGATACAGCTAGATTCTTCATACGACTCCTACTTTGCGCACTGGGCGCTCGGAAGAAATCTTTATCGAGGGGCCCTTTCTGACGCAGAAAAGGTGCAGATGACACCTATCATTGTTCTAGAAACTGTGCTGACACTGCTGATCCACAGGTCATTGAAAACAACCCCTCATCATATCTTGGGTACGAGATGAAGCATAAAGCGCTTCACACGGGACAACGCTATGACGAAGCAATCGAGGCCTTGGACAGCATGCTCTCCAAGCTGAATGATACACCCGACCCACAGATACGACGTAAGCCCTGAAGAACTCACCCGCTGAATTGAAGATTGCTTACTCGTTTTGCAGAGCTTCATCAGAAGTATGTCAAGCAATCCAAAGTAGATGATGCTATTCGAAGAGCCGTTCACACTCGTTTGGAAAGTGCCCCACTTCGTCTACTCGAGACATCCACCGGATATTTATGCGATCCGAGAGGCACAAATAAGAATCTTCATGAACAGTACGGAGTACAAGAAGCTTTTGTATGCGTCAATGATGCGTGCGCCCCTCAACACGGAGCCCATCAATAAGGCGGTCGCGAAGTTCTTCAGTTGGGTCATGTTATCGCATAGATGGGACAGCAAGGAGCCGTTGCTGCACAACATCCAAGGCAGGGTCGTATACGAGTTGTATGGAGTTGGCGGCATAGAGAAGCTGCAGAAGTTCTGCAAAAAGGCTCGCGATCTGGGCTATCGTTGGGCTTGGAGCGATACGTGCTGCATCGACCAGAACAACAATGTTGAACTTCAACGATCGGTCAACTCCATGTTCGTTTGGTATCACCAATCAGCTCTTACGATCGTCTACCTGTCAGATGTCTCACCTTCGGCGGAGTGGGGCGCACTGGCAAACAGTGATTGGAATACACGAGGATGGACTGTTCAAGAATTCCTTGCTCCTCGAGTTATTCTCTTCTACCGTGCAGATTGGACCCTCTATCTCAATGACCACTCTGGTAACCACAAGAAGTCTGCCACTATTATGCAGGAGTTAGAGAATTCAACAGGCATAAACACACGGGCCCTCGTCGCCTTCCGTCCGGGGATGAGAGACGCCCGCGAGAAGCTGAAATGGGTGTCAACGCGTGTCACCACGTTACAGGAAGACATCGTATACTCGCTGTTTGATATTTTCGGTGTCCACTTACCTGTCATATACGGCGAGACGAAACAAAACGCGCTCGGTCGGCTCTTGCAGGAGATTGTCGGTCGGTCGGGCGACATTACCGTCCTGGACTGGGTCGGAAAAGCATCCGACTTCAATAGCTGTCTCCCAGCTGATGTTACCTCGTACAAAGCTCCACCATTCACATTGTCATCTCTACCAGGGGACGAGATGCGGACATCTGTCTCCAAGCTGCGAAATACCGTGGCTGTGGAGTTAGCTTCGAAACTGTATACCCTGCTCGACAACCTCAGTGTCCCTCGTTTCACGAACTACAGATTGCTACTGCCTTGCATCGCATTTCCTGTCACAAAAGTCAGGCAGAGACACGGTCAACACGGGATATATTTCACTTATGACATTGAGGCAGATGGGCTCCAAGACCTGTTGATCACCACAGAAAACACATTGACTCAATTCTCGCCGGCACAGCCCACTCCACAGAAATTCTTCCTCATCCGTCCATGGGACCGCCATGATCTCGGGCTGCCTGATTTCTCGGACGATGCACAGAGTGTGCTGGAGGCCCTACACCCATCGTCGTTAGATTCACCCGACGAGTCTCTCGGAGAAAATGAACCAAATGAGATGGACGCTCATTCGCGAGCGTTGAGGTTAATCGTTCGCCTCGGACAACCTTTTGCTGCACTGTTGGTTGCGCAGCAGCGTGGTTGGGAGTACAAGAGGATTGCGTCGGATCACCGTATCATGGCATGCGTCAAGGACATGGCTTCGATTGAGAATATGATGGATGTCAGGATGCTAGAGATGCTGTAGTTGGAAGAATGGAAGGTGGTCGGTAGTATTTGAAGTTAATGAGTCTAAGTTGATCTCTCCTTACTCCGCCGACTAGGATGCCGCCGCTATTAGCACGATTTGAGGCTGAATGGGGGAGAATGAATGATTTCCTCGAAGTGCTTCCCACAAGCGTAAAAAAACGGGGCCAACACCACAGGAGCTCGCTCGTGTTGCTGGCCCGACGGACCCTGTACTACGGATTAGCCTGAGAGCGACTTGCACACCTACACGTATACACTGAAATATATACGTCTATATTTAGCGCACGCTAACGCGGAACTTTCTGTATGCATACATGTTACTTAAATGCAGACAAATTGGAATTGCAACCAAATTGCAACTACATCTCCGACCAAGAGGACATTTGATTTTCTGAGACGGCTCTGCACTATGCCAAAAAAGAACAGATCTAATGATACAAAGAAGTCCTAGAAAAGCCCTCAAGTAAATAGGCGGTGATGGTTGCAGGATCGTAATGTGATCTCCTTACAACGTCAGGTCTAGCATCTAAGAAGGAGTATCTTACTTACTCGTACTCGCACTCGTCATGTCATTATCGTACTTGAAGACGCATTGCGGACTTCAAGGTCCCAGAACTCTGCCTCCGATGCCTCCTTGGAACATCTACTGTAACCGTGGATTGCCTATCAATCACAACTTCCTGGGTTGTTTGTCGAGAATGATTTGTATGCCGATCGACCTGATGTCTGTTTGAGGGTTGTGGAGCAATTGCGTCAACAGCGGCAGGCTGCAGCTGCAGTTGTTGTTTCATCGCAGTCACTAGAAAGCCGTTCCATTGAACATGCAATCGAAAAGGTGGATAGATGTCTCACCTTCAAGGAATTTTGCATCCGCTTCCCGAGTGAAACTCTGCGTGAGAGCAGTGTATCGTTTCACTTGCCAACTCATCTGAGATACCCGCGCAAAGTTCCCCTGCGACTCAGCCCACTTCTTTTCCTCCTTGAACCGCCTCCGCTCACTATCCGCTAACGACGCCTTTGCGCGTAGCATCGCCAACTCCCGTTCAGGCGGGCTCATGGTGTGGTTGGGATCGATGCTAGAAGTGGATGTCAGCGAAGGTGGTGCGCGCCATCGTTGACTTGGTTCGGTTTTGCGGGAGCGCGGTGGTCGACTGGGGGGTATCATTTGGTATTCTGTGCTAGACTGGAATTTGACGAGACGCTTTCGTTTTGAGGTATATGTGCTCTCTTTGTCGTGAACAGAGTCTCCGTGAAAGTCATAAAAGTATCCGTCCTCGATGAGTTGCGATAGGATGTCGGTGACTAGGACGCCAAGGGCGACACCGAGTAAGGTGGTCGCGCACCTGGAGACGTCGTGGAGCATCATAAACTCGATGACGAGTTTGACAGCGATGCCGAATGCAACGACGAACGCGAGATCAGAATATTCCATTAAAGTATAATATAGTGCGACGCCTTGGACGACGCCGAGAAGGATGACATCGCTGATGACAGCCTCGTCAGCACTGGCATCAGCAGTGCTCGAGAACTTGTTGAGAACAATGCGTACGCCCAGACCAAATAATAGGGCAGGCGCTGTTGAGAATGTCATGGGAAAGACTTAACATTCATATGAATGACGGCGTCCCGACAGCTTTAGTATTCGCTTATTGTTCGACTTCGTGTGAAATACATAGACCCAAACGTCGTTCGACAAATACAAAATTCCAAAGAATATGCTATAAAGAATAGGAGAGAGCAAGGAGAAAGCAAGGTAAAATACATTATCGCGTATATACATCTTCGCTGTCCACGTAGTTTGCCATGGGATCTTCAGCGTTCCGGCGCGTCATTCGATAAGCCTCTGCAAGATGATAGGCCACATCAGAAGGCGTCCAATCGCAAAGTATGGAAAATTAAACACATACCAAGCTCCTCCTCAGTGACATCGTGGCTACTGCTCTGCAAGCCTTTCATCTTCTTGCTAGATCGATCATCATCCTTGTCTCCTCTGACTTTCCGCTTCTTCTCCTCGCTGATGGCCTCCGCTAACCGATCCTTATCTAGAGAGACGTCCCCTTCGCCTACTCGCTTCTTCGAGTAATTTTGCTCTATTCGGGCTCTCACCTCGTTGTCCTGGGCAGAGGGCTCTGATTGAGCCTGTGATGATGCAAGCAAGGCTTGGGCTGTCGAAGCCTGTGTAGCTTCCTTGCCCGCTTCACCAGCGCAATATGAGATGTGGATGGTCGAATGACAGCATGCATAGCCCCAGGTACTGCTTGAAAGGTCGTACCACGAGCCCCACACATACGTATGATTATTAACGTAAACTGAAACTCGTGTTAACACCATATCTCGCAACTATCAGAAAGTAGAAGCTCACCATCTTCTGGATACTTTGACCGCGTTTTAGCACGTTCTTTCCCTTTGATAACGTGGCCAGTCCGCGAATATTCGACATAATTTTCCGTTTGCCCATTGATGAGCTCCCTTGGCACATGTTCGAGGTACTCCTCGCCACCATACTTTGCCAGAATGCTGACTTTGTTGACGTCCTTCATCATCTCTTTCTTCTCCTTGAATTCGTGATGAAGAAGTTGACCTTGAGTGGGATTGGCGTTGAGATGAACATCATTCCCTCGAGCTGCCGCTTGCCACGCGAAAAGCTGCAGTTCTTGAACTTCAGGAGCCTCGCCAGAGAACCGAAAGAAATTATCCCCAGCAAATTTCGCCTGACATAGTGATCAATTAGGGCTGAATCAAGGAAGGAAGCGTGAACGCATACCTCCTCTGCAGGCACATTCTTCATGGGAGCGTCACGCATTGAGCGAGTCTTTGGATCGTAGTATGCACTCTCTGGGTCCAAGTTTATGAGATATTTAGCGGTATCTTCTCGGATGCGCAGATTCCGAACTGTAATGCGAGTCTTCGTGTCGAGTTTTTGTCCTACGGCATCGGCAGCATCGGCATATTTGTCGTCGTCGGCGTCTTCCTCATCGCTCGAACCAAAGTCAGGATCAGCTTCCTTTCCCTCCTTCTTTCCAGCTTTCGCCAGCTTCCGTACCGCAGCCAAATCTGTTGTTGTTTGGTTGTCAATCTCTTCCTCCCTCAGTTTCTGACGTGCTGCCTCAACAGCTTCGTACTCCTCATAGATTTTCTTGTGCTCTGCAGGATCATACCCGTTCCACCTATCCCTCTTCGCATCAAATCCCGTCGCTACGTCATGTATGATCTCGTCCGCCTGGATATTCCTGTTCGTGAACTTTGCCCCCTTCTTCCGAGGACGCTCGAGACAGTCCTGCTTCTTGTGGGTCATTGCGCCGCAATTTTCGCATGCGCCTTTTCGGTATTTCTTTGCAGCAGGTCCTGCCTTCGCACCACGGTCATACCAGTTGTCGAGTTTGTCTGCAGAGCGATCGTCGAATGGCCGACGTTGATGGCTTAGTGACGGTGCGCCGGTGTCAAGATACCACGGAGCTTGCGAGATGTATTCTGTGATAGAGAATGAGATTACTCGATACATAAGTCTATATAATATAAACTCACGAGGAATGTGAGGGTTGATAGGCCGTCCCTCCTCGTCCAGAGCTGCAGGAGCAGTTCCTGCTTTTCTGGCAGCATCGAGGTCCTTTTGGCGTCGAAACTCCTCACGGGAAAGCTTTCCGACAGCTGAAACAAGACAATTTGAGACAAACTTATTTCTCAAATAGTTTTACATACCTGAAGATGAAGCCATTTTGTTGCGACCTTTAATGGTTCGTGAGGAATACTTCAATGAAAGTGCCCTGTACGTCGATATCTTACAAATTCATTATGGAAGTAGTGTCTCACGCTATTCATGGCGGTGACCGCAGAGCGTTTTCGACTTCATGGTCATTAACATCGTCATCTTCATCGTTGCTTCCTCCAGCTTCCCTTGTCATCTCCGATCGAGAGTTCTGCGACGACAGGATGTCTGTGGTGTCATCATGCGTTCTACGCAAGTTTTTCGAGATTTCTCGAGTCCGCCTATCAGCATTGAGGCAGTATCCTGTGGGTCATTTGTTGTCGGTTGCTGTACCCAATCTACGGCAATTAATTTCTCTCTTTTTACTAAAGAGCAATATGCTATGATCGCGCATGCGCATGCAGTTTGTGGATTCCCTGTGCATTGCAGGGATTATATTCGTGACATGTTATGCGTACATGTTTGTGATGCCGAAATCAAATTCTTCCTCATCTTTCCGTGAGGCTGATGCAACTTCTCATCGTGACATCGTGTCGTACTTGCGGGGCTGTCCGAGCCGCAACGTCTTGAGTTTTTAGCTCGTGATGCGGATCATCATCTCACAAGCCATCGAATGTGATCTTTACATGGTTCGCATTCTGTTGACTTCCCTCTGATCCTTGCTTTTCCAACTGATGGAGGTCCTGGGATGCCCGGAGGGCTGTCGAGACTCGATATCACAGTATAGCCTCGCGGTCACCCTCTTTCCATATTGGAGTGACCGTGACGACTGCGACGCGGTGCTGAGCCTCAGTTACATCAATATATGACAGCTGTCATATTTTGAATTTTTGATGGCGCTAGCTAGGGAATTTCCAACAAGGGCGGCCCTTTGCCAAAGAGTGCATACTTAATCTGCGTCCGGAATCCGGATTGGCCGCAATGTTTTCCATTCCTTTCATGCCAGCTTCTTCTAAACCCATCGTGAAAATTTGGTATCCATTACGTCTTCTTCCCTATGAACCACTCCTGAATCTCACAGATAACTCTGACACAGAGCTTACTGCTGTCACGGGAACTGATGTCTATGACCGCGGTTTGACAAGTCGTACATATGCCACTGCTGGACTGGTGCTCTCAAGTATCATCAGCGTCTGTTGTATTATTACAGGGGTTGTCATTCTAACAATTAGCGGAATTTCTGGGGTGATTCCATTGATGAGACTCGGTGGCACCGAACTACAGAAATCCCTGCAGGTCGAGTTATTGTCGCTGATACTAAATGCACTTGTTACATTATGCACCGAGTCCACTGGCTTTGTCCACAGCATCTCGCTGCGCTCTGCGCTAGCCTCAGAAGGTCGGCTTCATTTCAACACCAATCTGCGCATTATGACCGCAGCTCGTGGTAGAAGAAATCCTAATGGCGCCCTGCTCAATGGTACCATGGCCCTACTTCTCATTTTATCCTACTCCTCATCCTCACTTGTTGTATTTGTCAACTTCTCGATTACGGAATCTGCTGCCATCACAGGGTTGCCTCTCCTTGTTCTGGGTGTCGCACTCCTTCTTCAGGTGGTGATTGCATTTAGGGGGATATGGGGAGTCGAAGTCTTGACATGGAGCTCCTCACCTTTCGATGTGACCGTTGCACTGGTCCACGACAAGAAATTGACCCGGTTTCATTCCCGGTGCATGTGTTGTGTATCTGACCAGGGCATTGACGCATGTCCTGTGAAGCCGTCAAAGACACAACTCTCTGCATGGCGTGCTCACACCAGCATCCGAAAAGTTGTCATTTCTCTTTGGGGGGTCGTTGTAGCATGCGCTGGATGGGCCGTACTCGTCTCCTATGTCAAGATCTCCTACCATTCCCCACAAATACCATGGTCGTTCTTGCAGCCACAGGAGGTTTCCATCTGGTATAATATGCCGGGTGCCGATCTTCTAGTGTGGATTCTGCTCTTTATCAACATCGCAGTTATCCAGGGACCGTTAACAATGGCGCTGCATTGCTCAGAGCTCATCGCGAACGTCATTCGAGATGAAAGCCAGTGGAGATGCGCTACCAAGAAGAAAGGACTTAGACCGACGATAAACCCGCTGAAGTCGATTTTTGCTTATCCAATTTGTCTGATACTTTTCGTCGTGAAGCCTTTCCTGCGTGAGTCACCTGTGTATATCTTTTGTTCGGTGTTGCTGAATACCATCATCAATTATAACAGACTGGATGTTTGGGCTTTCGATCACCGTAAACACCGACGCTATTGATGGAACATTGCATGGACAATTACAGGTCTACATGTTTGAAGCCCAGGTTCGCATTTACTGCTCCTGTGAGACTACTACAACATTCTCATGCACTCGTTCAGATCTGGAACTTATGTATAGCACTGTTTATATGTGCCTGTTTTTTTACCCTAATCGCACTGCGCCGACCCCGCGGCCCCCAGCCAGCTGCATACGGCCACCTCCAGACGCTCGCCAACCTCGTAGACTCGCCTTTGAGTCACGTAATGTGGTGGGGCCACAAGGCGGACGGACCTGTTTGTCATGCTGGTAGGGTAAATGTATGGTCATATAGATGATGTATTGATGGTTTTCAACACAGGGACGAGCGATCATGAACTGCAGGAGGTCAAGATGGATTGTGATTACGCTGGTTCTAGTGTCCGGTCCGCCGCATCTACTATCTCCCCCATTTTTGAAGTTATTCATTTATCTCTGTCGACAGATCTACATGGGAAAATTTAAACTAGTCTGGCTGTGCGTTAATGCTGCGCACGGCCGGCTTCAGGGGGAAATGATGATCGGATGAACTGAATGTCACGTGTTCTCATGTTGGCGTTGTCAGTACGTAGTACGCGTGTAGCCTCTTGTCATATTAAATAGCCTGAGAGGTAGACTAATGTGACGAGCAAAGTGACATACACTTCCATGGTCAAAACCGGTACGTAGATACAGATGACCAGAAATGAGTTACTAAAATAAAAGTTGACCAGCAGGAAGTCACAGAAAGGTTCAGAATGGCCCGATGCTGTTCGTGGATATCGATAATCGATCATCTCTAGACTACCCATTCCATGGCAGGGTTGTAATCCGGCATCAGACGGCTGGCCTCCTTAACTCTCTGCGCCCATGCGTTTTCCTCACGCTTCAGCATCTCCAAAAAATAGGTGTACTGGCGAACTCGATACCGCGACGCGAGGTAGCTTGAAAACACTGTGTCGATGCTGTACTTGATGAACAGCGTGTCCTCTATCTTGTCCTCCAAGTCGACTCCGTCGAGCCCCATCTTCATAATATAAACTTATTGCTCGCCACCAAATAAAACAAGGAGATCATCGTACCACATATGTCTGCATCTCTCGTTTGCGGCCCGCACTTTCTATGTTTATAAATTCGCGAGGAAAACCAAGTACATCGTTTGGGCTGTCGCAAAGAAGGGCCTCAGCGTCATTGGATGACGATGATATTCAGCTCAGCTAGGAGTAGTGAGCCGCATCTATCTAATCTATTTAATATTTAACAATGCTTTTGATCGGAGCATTCAACATGTTGAAGTACCGCTTAGACTTACTAGTCACGCAATCAATCACACATACTTTTCTGGCATCGACAATGGCACAAACTTTCAGAAAAAAGCAGAAGATACAAGCGGTAAGGTTCATAGCTGTCTTGCGAGGCTGGTGCTGATGACACCATGATAATCGATCTTCTAGAATACTATGGTCATAAGATCGACTCAAGAACAGCGTCAGGAACGATTCAACAAAGTCCGGGGTATAGTAGGTTCCCTGTACCAACTTAGTAAGGCGTTTCCTTTTTTCATATCACTGACGTGTCCTGCTGGTCCTTACTGGCACACCCAGTGTGCAAAACAATCTGGTCGAGCTATGGGGCTTCTTGAGTCGGCTATATCCACTCATTCACAACGATTATTTCACGAATCCTTTGACCTCTCTCGTGGCTCGTACTCGATACCATTCCTAAAGGCTGCACAAGAGCTCTTACTTGCTGCACCAAGGCGAACGTCGATATAGCCGTACCACCACGCGAAGAGTCATATCCATGACAGAGGCCCAGACTTATAAGTAGATTGTTGACACAGAATACAACGAACCTAAAAAGATATTTACATGTAACGTATTTTGGTTTGTTTACACCAACGGGTAGCGTTGACGTCGTTCCAAAATAGATCTGTCAGCCAACGATGATCGAGCAGTCCGTGTCAGCCACTGAGCTTGATACATAAAAAAGCTTGTTCTTCACGTTCTCCGACCCAATCCATTTTTGTTCTTCGACTTCAACTTCTTCTCTTACACTCGTTGCTTGCATCTGCTACCCCACATTCGTTCATAATGCGCTCCCTTTCAATGCTCGCTCTCGTGCTCCCTGCCGTGCTCGCAGTGCCTCTTGAAGTTACCACTCATCACCAATATGTAAGTACCTAAACCTCCATTATTCATGCACTGTTGATTCGACTTTTTCGCCCTACCAGTCACCTTCCTCCTGTGTCATCGCAGACGTCACTTATCCAGACCCTCGGCACGCCCTCGTGCTCCTTGGCAGACGAGAACTCAACCCTCCCGCCGGACTATCCGAGCGCACTTTCATCGACCTCCTAGTCTGGTGCCACGAGTTTGGTCGTTCATACTCTGGTATACTTGCTGCTCGTAAGGAAGATGGCTGCTCCTCTGGAGCTTTCGGCGGTCCAGCAGGGAGTGATAGCATGGCTGGTACAACCAATCCAGGAGGCCCTCCGCAGAATTCTTCAGCGTCAGGTGATCAGAACACAGGCTCTTCCGCTGCTGGGTCTTCGACGACCCCTGCAGCTTTTACACCTGCCGTTTCACCTGCCAACTCTGTCGCTCGTCCTGCATCTCCGGGGGATACACCTTCAGAGACACCTGGAGGTGCAACTGGGTCCACGACATCTGGAACTTCAACCGATGGTCCCGCCAACAGCAACGCTTCCAACGGAACTCCTGCCAACCCTGCGGGAAGCAGTCCCTCTGGAAACGCAGCTGCAACCACCGGTCCTGCGGATAGCAACGCATCTGACAACGGGAGTGCACCTGCGACACCACAGTCCGACCCACCTCCACCTACCACTCCCTCCACTGCGGCATCTCCGATCCTAGTTGTCGACGGCACCAGCCCTGTCGCGGACATCAACGCGTCGGACAGCCTTAATAGCACACAGGCGAGCGGAATAGCAGCGTCATCCACACCCTCAGGTGCAACATCCCAGACTACCCCAGATGGTACCGCCAACGGTGGCACGACGCCCCAGACTGCTCCCAATGGCACCTGTCAACGGTGGTACGACGCCCCAGACCGTCCCAGATGCTACTATCAACGGTGGTACGACGCCCCAGACTGTTCCAGATGCTACTATCAACGGTGGTACAACGCCCCAGACTGCTCCCAATGGCATTGTCAACGGTGGTACGACGTCCCAGACCGTCCCAGATGCTACTATCAACGGTGGTACGACGCCACAGACCGTCCCAGATGCTACTATCAACGGCGGTACGACGCCACAGGCTGCTCCGGATGGTACGGCCGCTCCTACCAGCCCAACGGCGTCTACCCCTGGAACAGCGGCCGATCCCCCTATTACTGGAACGGGTTGCCCATCTAATATTCTGGACGTTACGGGCGTTGTTTCTGTGAGCGTGGGCAGCGCAGCGACTTGTGATAGCGTATAAGTTCCTGTAGCATTGTAATGCAGATGTGTTTCTTGCCACTACTACCGCCAATAAGGGGGTGTCCCTAAATGGCAGTCATGCAAAACAACACGCAAACAACGCGAACAAATCTGAGTCTTCACTGAATACCACTGCAACTTTATACATATACCCAGGCCTCATTGATACAATACTAGACCGTCGAAGACTCATTCATGATGTCGACTCACCTTGCGATACTGCCACTTGGTAAGCTCTTCGCCTTGTCCACACCAGCTTCCATATCGACGTGTCTTGCCATTCCGTACAGACATTATTGACACACTGACTGCGCGACTAAGTCAAGAAAATCGCCCTCCCGGCCATGCGACTCGATTTCTAAGACTTCCACACCCGCGTACAGGTTAGTCGATATACGACTAATGTCGTTCTCGACGCTTACAACGACAAGGTGTCGCTTCACTGTTCTTTCTCCATGATCAACACGCACAAGATGATACCACAAAGAAGAGTTCCATATTAGAGGTGCAAGCTATATCCCCGACAAATGCGCGGACCTGGTTCATAGGAGAGGGAGTTGTTGCTGGTGCGTTGTACAGATCATGGTGTCCCAATCGTATGTATTCCTGACGCACAGGTGTTCAGATGGAAAGCTCATAGTGATGACGCCTATGGACCCCATGTTTTTGCTCATGTATCTTTTGCGTGTTCCACAAGCGGTATGTTGTTCATACACGTTGTGCTAGTCCCTAGGACGATGTTTGTTTTACAGCGCGACGGATCGAAAGGCAACTTCCGGCCCATGCAGGATATCATAGAGGAAGTCTCTGCGACGATTGCTGATGCTTCCGAGAAAGATGCTCAGAAGGATCCGTCATTAAATGTCTCCGCAGATGACATCATTTCCTTTCTGTCTCTGGATCTTGTCCAGTCCTCTATAAAGCGTGTTTGCGACGTGAAGAGTAAGTGTTTAGAGTGTCGCACAACCACTTATTAATATGTCTGTGCTCAAGTCATAACGGATGAGATTACTGTGTACAGATATTCTCATGACGTTGTGCTGGAAAATCTCAAGGGAAAAGTAGGACGCTTATCCGACCCCAGGGTTGCTGAGATGTCTCGCACTCTGGTACGGAGCCTTGCGAAGGATGGTCTGATGGATGATGGAAAAGAGGAACTACTTGAATGTGCGTTATTTTCCACCGTTTGTCTCTAGCTGACATATTCTATCCAGTGGGACGGATCAAGTTAGCCTGTGAGTTGCTATCGCAATACCTCCCCCGGGATATATTGCAGCACTTGATTGCGTCTTACGAGTATGTGTCTCGTTTACTCTGACTAGCAGATACTGATAGGTCATTAGTCTCTCCAAACTGGACGCTCATGTGAAAATGGTCAGAGATGAAGAACTCGCTTTGCTCGCCGTAGCTCCCGACACCAAGAAGAGAGCAAAGCCTGCAAAATCCGTCGCAGCTGGCGATAAAAATCAGAAGAGGAAAAAAGATACCAAGGCTACTGCGAGTGCTGACGCTGACGCAGCTGACGAAGGAGATAAGAAGAAGAAAAAAGATGCCAAGTCGTCACACGGTGTAGAGAAGCTGAAGAAGGCCAATGTAGCAGGGATGTCAAAGTTGTCCACATTTTTCACGAAGAAAGCTGGATAATTGCAACTTCGAGTCATGCGCCTCACGCTTGGCCACACGCCATGATGCTTAGGCCGCGGTTGGATCTGTTAGCTCAGGAAGATAATATGTTATTTATTTTCTTCCTCCGATCTCATGGCCTCCGCAAGTACATTTTCACACTGAGTCACTGACGATTACTATTCGGGAACGCTCTTGGAAATATGTGAATACCCATCAGGCTGCCACGAGTGTTGCTTTCCTTGTTTGTCTCGAGCAAGGTCTTCATTACAAACTATGATATATTAAAATCATTGTTAACATGCCATGAGCAAATACATTATGTTGGCATCGGTGAGAGACTGGCATTTGACAAATACTTGGCACTGTCATTTGAGGTATCATCAGAGGGGGGAATGCTCCGACCCTAATTCAGTGAGAAATAGAACACTCCAGACTCCAATTGGAACCTGTATGTAGAACAAATATTGCATTGCGAACACAGCACACGTGTCAAGATACGCATGAGGGTCACCAGAACAGACCATTCCGTTCGTAAGGCTTGCCTAAACCACAGGTGTTGATCAAGTCGACGTGGACGGGTGACGAGCATGAGACGGATGCATGGGAACGGCGATCGAGTCCTTGGAGGCCTGCCAGAGTATCCCGCGGAGTAGCTCAATGCCTGACTCCCACTGTGCACGGATTTCTATTTATCCGTTCTATCTTTGACATATAAGTAAAGCTTGAACCACCCAGAAGAATGCAGAAACCTATTAGATAGTTAGCGGTGATCGATGTCGATGACCAGGGGATTCCGAGTCGACCGGGCATGGCTTATGTAACAGGTATATCGTCGTAACCAACTTAATTTAGAGCCTGGTAGTATCTGAGTATATTTATTGCAAACTGTTCAATCCGTCATATGACCGGTCATATGCACCAGCGAAAGGCTTCAGCTGGCAGTAAATCTGCAAGCCGTTACATCTTCCGAAGTTACTAAGTCGTTTCTAGTATTCGTCATCATGCCACTAGCTCACGATTGCGTGATATCGTCTCATCGCAGATAGCAGGCTGCATAACTAATCACCGAGGTTTTCGCTCATATGTAAGCTCTTAAACTCTCATTATTGGTTTGCATAGCTTGATACCCAGTTACAATATTAGAAATGGCCAGCACCCCTCATGGCGGAATTTTGAAGGTACGTTTTTTGTATCTACGCGCCGTACGCGATCTAACATCTATGCATAATACAGGACCTTGTTTCACGGGATGAGCCGATATCAGGGCAGCTCAAGGATGAGGCTGCGAAGCTCAAGGACATTGTGCTCACAGAGGTTCGTCTCTCAAGTGATACTATCTTGAAGCTGAATGTGAATCTTGAATAGCGTCAACTCTGTGATCTCGAACTAATCATAAATGGCGGCTTCAGTCCATTAGAAGGCTTCATGAACGAAGCTGATTATACAAGGTAGCAGAGATATCCAAGCCACAGAAAGTCACACTGAAATATCCTGTCAGCGTCGTCGATACATTACGACTATCTGACGGCACACTATTTGCAATGCCTATCACTCTTGACGTGTCTTCTGCTGATATCGAGCGTCTCAGCATAGTGCCTGGCGCTCGTATTACTCTCCGAGATCCTCGTGATGACGAAGCACTTGCAATTATCACCGTTGATGACGTTTACACCTATGACCGCGTCAAGGAGTCTATTCTTGTTTTTGGTGCCGATGATCCAGCACACCCTTCCGTCGCGTACCTCCGCAACCGCGTCAAACCTTTCTATGTAGGAGGGAAGGTACAAGCCATACAGGCGCCCTCACACTTTGATTATGTTGCTCTGCGATGTAAGTCATATCAGTGTTGGGGTTACTTACCTTGCTAAAAAAAGGATTGGCAGACACCCCTACTGAACTCCGTGCCCACTTTAAAAAACTTGCATGGCGCAGAGTTGTCGCTTTCCAGACCCGAAACCCGATGCACCGTGCTCACCGTGAGCTCACTGTCCGTGCTGCTCGCCAACATCAGGCGAACGTCCTAATCCACCCTGTCGTCGGTCTTACAAAGCCAGGAGATGTCGATCACTATACTCGTGTCCGCGTATATGAAGCCATCATGGCCAAGTATCCGAATGGAATGGGTCACCTTGCGCTCCTCCCTCTCGCAATGCGCATGGCAGGTCCTCGTGAGGCAGTATGGCATGCAATTATCCGAAAGAACTTTGGTGCAACGCATTTCATTGTCGGTCGTGACCATGCTGGACCAGGCAAGAACTCACAGGGTAAAGATTTCTACGGCCCATATGACGCACAGGAACTTGTTGAGAAGTACAAAGATGAAATTGAAATAGAGATGGTTCCATTCCAACAGATGACATACCTCCCCTCTACCGATGAGTATCAGCCGGTGGACGAAATACCTGCTGGAGCGCAGACTCTGGATATCTCTGGCACGGAGCTGCGGAGGCGACTAAAGTCAGGGGCGCATATCCCTGACTGGTTCAGTTACGAGTACGTTCCCGTTCTTGGAATACTACGCATCAATTTGACAAGCGCATCAGGGCTGTGGTGACGAGGTTGCGAGAAAGTTACCCACCAAGGAACAAGCAGGGCTTTGTTCTCTGCCTCACTGGCTTCTACAACTCTGGAAAGAACATCATTGCAAAGGCCCTCCAAGTCGCACTCAACGAACAGGGCGGTCGCAGCGTATCCCTTCTCCTTGGCGAGACCATACGAGATGATGACGTCAAGTTAGGTTTCACACCGGACGAGCGTCACGAGAACCTGCAACGCATATCCTTTGTAGCAGGCGAACTGGCCCGCGCGGGGGCCGCTGTCATTGCTTCACCTATAGCCCCTGAAGAACGGTCACGAGCGTTAGTGAAGGATACTATTCTCCAAAATGGCGGCGCAGGAGGGAACTTTTTCCTGATTCATGTTGCGACACCTCTCGAACATTGCGAGAGCACTGACCGCAAGGGCATTTATGCTCAAGCGCGTCGCGGAGAGATAAGGGGTTTCGTTGGTGTTGACACCGAGTATGAGGCACCCAAGAAAGCAGATCTGGTTGTGGACGTGACCACACAGAGTATACCTTCCATCGTGCACAGTGAGTTCAACTATAATTTCGATCTTGATGGTGCTTACCGTGTTTTTAGGTATCGTTCTCTTACTTGAGACAACTTCACTGATATGAGTGCTCACAATACCATGACGACTAGAGTATAGCATCGCATTACAAGATCATTATTTTCGGGTATAGATTGGTGCTACAAAAGCCAACTTGTAAATTATGTCTAGCATTGTATTGGAACATACATGAGTCGTATTCGTCTCAATCAAACATGCTCTTTTCACGGCGTAGCCAGAGTTCGCTGCTTTTTATCCTGAAGACGCCTCACCTACTGGATCCCACAACTACTACAAGGCAGTCACATCATATGACAAAAGTCAATATCCCATATAGTGCTTCTGATACAACGAGAGGTAATTTACGAGTCTCAAAGATGAGATCTAGAAGCAGGAGCGAATTGAAACTTGCTCCGGCGACATCGCCTATATACATATCTCGCTCCTCGACTTTCCCGTTCTGTACACTGCTTTCCTTCGTTTGTACAGTAGAGATATCCAATGTACTAAGGAGACATACCAACCATGGACAAACTGATTATAAGAGATATACGATTAGCACAATACCAAATGTTTAGCCTTCCGAACATACGCAGTGCCAGCAGATAGGATTCCAAGGTAGCGCACCTAGGATACTTTCAAGTCAGCACACAATGGCAACTACGACAAACAAGCTACATACAGTGAGATGCAGCACTGTCATTAGATACCAGCGTTGTCTCTGTAAATAAGCGTATTTTCATGTGTGTTCCCTCTGCCATGAGGGTCTACTCACAGATGGGTTCGACCTAGTATAAAAGGATTCTTAGCGAGATGGCTGCTCCGGTCATGGCATCGACATACCTCTTGTCCGAATGTGAGTGCTGAAAATACTTGTAAGATATCAGTAATCCTTTAATCATATCGTGCTCACCCCAACAAAAGCGGCAACTGCGATACCGGAGCCAAGGTTAGATTGAGACATCCGAGTCAGCGCTCAGCTTCAACATCCGACTGCTCTCCACGAACCTCCAAAATAGCTGGAAAAACGATATGCATGGATGGACGGCCACCAAGTGGGATCATTTGAGACAATGGTCATATTGTTGAAGAATGGGTGTGGGTGAGAGGTGAGTTTGGTAAACGTATAGCGGTGACATTCGTGCTATATATGTACGTACAAGTCCACGCATCCAGGACCTAGGTGTCAACGTTCTCAATCATATGTACGAAAGAACAACGCAGGGAGAAACATATCGAGGCAACGATTCAACGATCAAAGCATCCGTTGTTACTGACAACCAACTGATAAATAACGAGTAGAGAACCGAGACAAAGTCGAGGGAACAGACGAAGCGTGAAAGGTTCGCCAAGGCCTGGAGGTTGAGGTCGTCGGTGATCATTGCGAAAAGATGAGATGGAAGAAAGAAACGAACTTGAACGGCGATCCAACGAGCAAGACACGCGCATGCACCAACGACAGCGAGAACGTAACCGGGAGTCAAGAAACAAGAGTAAGGACAGTTGGGAATGGGGAAGAAACGCAGTCAGGGAGGTGGGATGGGGGATGATTCGCAGTCGACAAATGAGAACTAAAGAGAGGGGGCATAGTGGAGGTGAAGAGGTCGCAGAAGATGACACTGACTTCGACGTTCGTCAGCTATGTGTACGAAAGCATGAGGCGGAAGAGAGAGACGAACCGTTAATGCTGTCCTCAAGCTGACCAGGTGGTGCGGTAGAAGTCGGCGTACTTGAACCTCTTCTTGATCTGGTCCAGGAGGTACCAGCCAGGGGTGCAGTAGTATTGGCACCAAATGTGAACACATTTTGTAACACGAATATCATTGAGTACTGATTAATGATTTCTGGCCATGCTGTGGCAATGAATCAGTACTTGATTGATCTGATCAGTCACATCACCTCTTGTGAAGTATAGCGCTGGTGATGCTATGTCTTGGTAAAGTCTTTCGGTCCTTCGAAGGTATTCATTAACATTAGTGACGCGATCACGTGTATGTGATGTGTCCCGGATGAGAGTCTTGTACACAATAAAGTTACAATAAAAAACATTCTCAAGCTTGCTATTTCAAGTTCGCCAAGCAATGATATCGGTCATGCACAGATCCCCAGCCACCCTACACCCAGTATTGGCCGCCGCATCTGCAGTGTCATCTCTGCTGGTTACAATTCATAAAAGTCCTCTGTTGATTGAATCTAGGCATGTCCCATCAATTACATCACTAGACTCAAACGATGGCCGACTGACTTGATAGCTTTCCTCATCAATAGCCTATTGACATGGAAGACCAGCCGCGATCCACGCATCATAACCGCCCACTATATCGGTCGCATTCAACAACCCAAGCTCATGCAGGGACGCCGCAGCCAATGAGCTGGTGTACCCTTCACGACAAAACAATATAATCTTCGAATCATAGCGATCTGCAACTGTTAATCGCGCTTCGCAGCGTGGGTCAAAACGCCACTCTAGAACGTTTCGTTCGACGATAAGAGATCCGTGGATCTCGCCTTTACGACCGCGCTCTGCAGCAGGGCGGATATCCACGAGAAAAACGGGCACCGGGTATGTGGGATCGTGAAGTGCGTCGTAAGCTTGTTGGGGCGTCATTCGCTCGAGCTTCGCCCGGGCGTCGGAGAGAATTTGGTCGATGCTGCGAGATCCGGGGGGAGGAGCATGAGGATTGTGGGTTTGCACGGAGTTGAACAATATGTCCCACAAGGCGGCTTCGTGGTATGTCGAGGAGCCAATTTGCCGTATGGATGCAGCCTGAGCAATGAGAGTGCCCTTGTTGTTGACTGCATCTACTCGTCCTGGAAATTTGGAAGACGCGAGAAGCACAGCCCGCTGCATGTCATCCTCATCTGACCCGCAGATGATGAGTGCGTCTGAAACACAGGCATCACTACCAACACTTGTTGGCGACACACTGGTGGTTGCTATGATAAAGAGATATGGGGATAAAGGTAGACAGGTGGATATATGGGAAGCGACAAGTCGAAAACAGTCACTGTTGTCTTCCTTCGAATAGTGGATACCGATGCGGACACCGTCCACTGTGCACGCATTGGTGATCATGCGGAGTGCGATGCTCTGGGCAGCCTCCTCCGAGTCACGCACATCTGAAAAAGTTTGAAGGTTGATGGGAGAAGTTGGAGATAAAAGGATGTGTTGGTGCTCGAGAGCGACAGTGGACGATGCCGCGGTAGAGAATGGCATGAAGAAAATTTTGAGTAAACCGTCGAAAGGGAAAACGCGACGGAGAAGCTTAAATCAGGATTCAGTATATCCAAGCGGCCCTGCAATATAAGCACGACGCATTGGGGCAACACCATTATGCATCATGATCCGTGTGCACGGTTCGCGAACGCAATTATTTCCATACCAATGTTGTTGTGCAACGTATGTGTGGGGTTTTCGTATGCGGCAGTATTGCTGGCAGAATACATACACTTACCAGGAAGGGACGATCATCTAGTGGGGTTCTCCGAAAATTTGTATAACGCTGTGAAATACCGCTCGATTTGTTGAGCGAATATATCGATATCTAGTAGTTCCTTCGTGCCAGGCAGAGATCATGAACTGAAGTTGTGTAAATGGCAATGTGCTTGCCAGTGATTAATTGATTGTTTGTCCTAGCCTGCAGAGGAGATATATATCATACTTGATGGGCTTGACAACCTCGCAAAAGTCAGATAGGGCATGAAGCAATAATTCCATTGCCCTCGCGTCGCCCATAACATGAGAGTACGCGGGCTGCTAAAGGGACAAATATTACTAAGATCAAGGAAGACTGCATACTAAAATGCGCACTTCACCTTACAATCCGTTTGCAAAATATGCGGCAGCGACGTGCATAGTAGTACTTTGATACGCTGTACAAGTTCCGGTGCATTCGTTTTATGTATAGACAACTTGTCTCGGAAGCGACAATGAAAGTGCCTCCCAGGGATCATATGATGCGAACATGTGTTTTAGTTTACACGGTATAGCCGAATCTATTGCCCACGGGAAGCGAGCACTTGGATTCGTTGAACCGACTTGCAACTTGGACCGTCCTTTCTTCCTTGCTCAGTGATGTTGTTATTTCGGCGTGTGCCACGGTCTTTCAACCGGTCGATCGGTGCTTCCATCTCTTATCGATCATCACTTGGGGTCTCAAGTAACCTGATCCTTCGAGCTGCTGCACGCCCAATGTCTGTTCACCACGGAGAATCTACCATTCGACCTGAGCCGGACAAGGTCCTGAAGGACATTGCAGACTATGTTCACAACTACCAGGTCACTTCAGACCTTGCGTTCGAAACTGCACGACTCTGTCTCATAGACACTATCGGATGTGGACTGGAGGGTTTGAATTTCCCGGAGTGTACCAAGCTCCTTGGACCCGTTGTAGAAGGCACCGTCGTGCCTAATGGTGCGACATCCGTATATGAATGAATGATAAATTGCTGAACTGTTGGATACAGGCACCAAGGTTCCCGGAACGAATTACCAGCTGGATCCTATTCGTGGCGCATTCAATATTGGCACAATCATCCGCTGGTTGGACTTCAATGACTGCTTCCTCGCTGCTGAATGTGAGTAGGATAATAATGAACCGCTCGCTATCAAGCCAGATGCATAGATCGGTACACGACTCTCATGTCGAGCAGTGCGAATGCGTGATAAATCTTGCATATGAGCTCACTCCACATTCTAGGGGGCCATCCGTCAGACAACTTGGGTGCTATTCTTGCGGTTGCGGACCACCTCGCTCGCCAGGGACAACCCCTGACCGTCCGCGACATTCTCGAGGGCATGATCAAAGCACACGAGATTCAAGGTGGCCTTGCCCTGCTCAACTCTTTCAACCGCGTTGGTCTCGATCACGTCGTGCTCGTCAAAGTTGCCAGTACCGCTGTTGTCTCCAAACTCCTGTAAGTGCACCTTTGGAGTTGAATGCAACAACTAAGATGGTACACGCAGCGGTCTTTCACACTCTCAAACGATCGACGCCGTTTCGCAAGCATGGGTCGATGGTCAATCCCTCCGTACTTACCGTCATGCACCAAACACTGGCCCTCGCAAGTCGTGGGCAGCAGGTGATGCCTGTTCCCGTGCCGTCAACCTCGCTCTTCTCGTCAAGAAGGGCGAGCTTGGTCTCCCCTCAGTCCTCACCGCCAAGACTTGGGGTTTCTACGACGTCCTCTTCAAAGTAAGATACCCCAAAAGTACAGCAGTTCCACCCCACTGAACTAGACTTCCAGGGAAAGCCATTTGAGTTCCAAATGCCCTTCAGCTCATACATTATGGAAAACGTCCTGTTCAAGATCTCGTATCCCGCCGAATTCCATGCCCAAACCGCAGTCGAGGCCGCACATACCATCCACAAGCAGCTCAAAGCACTCGGCAAATCCTCAGACGACATTAAGAGCGTGCGCATCCGTACACAGGAGGCTGCCATTCGCATCATTGACAAGCAAGGTCCCTTGGACAACTTCGCTGACCGAGAGTAAGTATCCCAACCTATCCATGACGGTGCAAATCCGCTCACGTGTCACTCTAAAGCCACGCAATCAGCTATATGGTTGCATACCCGCTTATCTTTGGTGAACTAACCTCGAACTCGTACACTGACTCATCTGCTGCGGATCTCCGTATCGATGTGCTACGCGCCAAAATTCACTGCGTGGAGGACAATACATTCTCAGTGAACTATCATGAACCATCAAAGCGCTCTATTGGAAATGCACTCCTCGTCGAATTGAACGACGGCACAATTCTTGATGAGGTTGAGGTCGAGTACCCTGTAGGACATAAGCGTCGCCGCGAGGAAGGTATCCCTCTTCTCATGGAGAAGTTCAAGAGGCACATCTCCGCACATTTCAATGAGGCCCACCAACAGAAGTGAGTCAGCGTACTTTATGCAATTTAGTACTGAGTACTGATCCGACCCACAAGGATCCTGGCAACTGTAACTGATGCGCGGTCGCTGTCCAGGTTGCCAGTCGATAAGTTCACTGATCTATTCGTTAAGCCGTGAAATGGTACATGTACTTGTAGTGCGATTCAATAACAATTGGCTATGAAATTAATACATGTGCGATCTGCCCAAGTCCGTCTATCAACAGTATGCGTGCAAGATGAATATCTATGACCGTCCCTGAGGAATCCGCGAAAAAAGACATGAAAACGATGCTGGAAGGAGACAAACGTGATGAAAAGAACAAATCCAAAGCTGCAGTCCAGTAGTAGAGACGTCATCGAGCGGAAATTGGACACACGTCGCTCCTTGTTTTCCTCCCGCGCGACTTTTTCTTGAGCTGCTGTGATGTGTCCACGACTCCCCCTCCCTTGGACCGCGATTGTACGCGGGTTTGATCAAGGTACTCTTCCTGTTCCTGCGCCGAAGGAAGACGGACTTTTGCGGGCGATGCTCCATGAAGGAACGAGTACGGCTGGGCTTCATATTCGTCAACAGAGTCCGGGCTAGGAACGCTTGCATGACTGACAGCAGGAACACCAAGGTGCTGTTCTTGGTGGTACCTGCGAGGTGTTATATTGTCGTCAGAATAATCACAGGAGGAAAGACTGCGCGGGCGATAATCGGTGAATCGATAAGCAGACACAGACGAGGTGTCCGCAGGACCGTTGAGCTCCTCTTCCGGTACAGAAGACAGTCGGCGTTGTATTAACCGCGCAAGGGGGACAGACCTGGGTTGCTGATAGGAAATACTTCGAGACCGTGACCCAGGCGACTCAGGTGAGGGAGGAGCAACGGAAACAACAGTACGACCAGTACTGACGGGGTGGCGAGCTGCTGCCGCCAGCGGAAGTTCGGCGGTACCAGCATAACGAGGCTGCTGAGAAGACAATGTCTGCATATCGCGCAAATAGTTGGCAAGACCACCAGGGATATCCGAAGGATGCCGATGGACTGCAGAAGGGACGTCCCTGTCATGACGCGAAAGCACAGAAGCGTAGCCGCCATTTCCATCTACATCGAAGAAATGAGTTTCGGCATTGTTATCCTGGCGATCGTACAAGTGCCTGGCTGGGTGGGATGCATCCAAGAAGGGGTATTGTACTTGCTGGGTGTGATGAGATAGACCTAATGTGTTTTGCATGTCCATCTCCGGAGATACGGAAGGATACTGATAAGGCGAGAAGTTTGATGACCACTGGGGAGAGGAAGAACTTGGCGGAGTAGGTAGAGCGGCCTGTTGCTTGAGACGGAACTCCTGACGTTGACGATACTGCTGGGCAATCTCCATGGCGGACTGACGTTGTGCCGCATTGACCACCTCATTAAGACGCGGTTCCACGAAGATTTTCGGGTAAACCGGAGTGGCATGAGAATGATTCGAAACCGGAAAAACGGGCTTGAGACCTTCAGGATAAGCTTGACTGAGTGCAGTGTTCTGAAGCGACTGCTGGGCAAATGCGAGCTGCAAATCCAAGAGAAGTTTTTGATCGTTGAACGATGAGCCAAAGCCTATTTTGTGGGCCCCCGATTCGCGAACAGTCGGTATACCAGTTTCGGACCGCCAAGAACCCGAGAAAGGAAGTCCGTTAATGGCTGGTTCAGCTTTTGACTCACGCAGATGGGGTGTCTGTGAGTGTCCATGAATGCGACGTTCATGGTCAGGGCGATGATGAACAGTGGAAGTTCCTCCGCTAGCGACCCCTTTGAATGTTTTCTTGTTATTCGCAGCCGCTCGTACCTGATGAGGTTTCTGGAGTACGTGTCTCTTTTGCGTTTGAGGTGTGACCTGGGAGTGAGGGGCGGACTTATGACGTATGTCGTCATCCGTATGTTCGCTATCACCACGATATTGACAAGATTCGTCTTGGCCTAAGCCCCATATCATTCGAGAGACGTTGCCTGGCTCTTCGATGATCGTTCCTTCAGCTCCCCTAGAAATGGTAAGCTACTTTGCGTTCATTACATATTTCACTTACGATGGACAGCGGGCATATGGAAGAGAAAGCGGACCATGAAGTGCTGGGATAGGGCGGGGAGGAGAACTTGCCCATGTCGCCCAGCCTACATGGAGAAAAATGAACCTCAGCGTCGCAATTATTAGTCAACACAAACCATGTCCGGGTGAGGCTGTCTTTTTGGAAAGTCTTCGTCGAAGGAATCCATCAGGAAGCTGGGCATGACTGTCGATGATGAGGATCGACTCGGGAGATGACGGTGGAGAAGGCGTGTGCGGGACATCTGAAGGCGGGGGACAAACTCTGACTCGATGGCGTTTCTCAATGTACGAGGACCCGAAGGATGCGCCTGCGGAAGGAGACTCAATCGAATCCAGAGACAGGTCAACAGCAGCCGCGAGATACTCGGGCATGGAAACCACCCGCATGCTATTTTGAGAGTCCAACTTGATATGCTGCGCCGACATGTCGTCCGGCATAGAAATCACGCGTCTTTCGACGGTTTTTCCTTCTGGGTGACGTTCGACTAGGAATAGTTTGCGCCTAGGAACGCGACGAGATATCAAGGGTGCGCACATGGGGCTAACGGGGCTATTATGCTGGAGATTGGACCGACTATATGCGTTGTTATCATGAACAGAAAAATGTGAAGGAGATAATTCTGGGTCGATTAATGGCAACCCGATCGTGAACTCGTGTAAAAGCGGCCCAGAGTCATAGTCATCGAAGGGAGCTTGAGGAGCACCAACCGCTGCCAAGTCTGGTGCTGTTGCTGATTGTGAGGAACATGAAGTTTGCACTCCTCGATCAATATACTCCTTCAGATATCCCATGATTCAGGATCGCGAAGACGTTGCGTCTGCCTAGGGACGACCGAGGTTGTTCAGGTAGCAAGCAAAGGGCGCGACCTGGGATAGCTAAGGTAAGTTCGAATTTATATATTCTTTGCATAATAATCGTTATTTACGTAAATTCATTTTGCGAATTCGGATCGACTCCGAGCGAGCGCGATCATCGTAACGATGATGGCGGCTCATAATTTGCTGATACACCATTCACACACAGATCAGTGATACACCGACCGAACTGGACTCGGAGCACATAAGCGGTATGCCATGCGCAGCATTATATGAGTATGTCCAGAATGTTTTGGAGTCGTTTACTCGCGAAGTTGACCGCATGTGTTTTACTTGCAGGCTGGCTGCATACATGACACTAGCTTACAGTTAGCTCAGGCTAGTACTTGAGGCCTGAGATTGTGGGAAGGACCATCAAAATCATCCCGGCTGATACATTTAACGGGTCGCCGCAAATTCTTAACGCCTTCTGTTGAATATTGCCTCAACATAATGTTTGCTACTGACTTGGACGCACAACAGATGTGAGTGATACACGCATGTATTTGCCATATATCCTGATGCTAGTGACTGAATAAGTACCTTCAGATCGTTGTGCACTTACGCCGTCCTGGCAGGGAACAGTAAGTTTTGGCGCCTCTTAGCTTTAGGACCGTGACATGATATTGTAGGTATCCTGATATACGACCATGTGTTGACTCTACCAGAAGAATTCGCTTTCATTTGGCGTCGCCCAAAAGGACTAGCTGCAATGTTATTTCTGCTCAATCGCTATCTCGCCCTTCTCGGCATTATCTGCAGTATGGTCGTAGAACTCTTTCTTGTTTCAGACGAGGTTCTATATTTCGTTATGTATGTACTCGACTTGTGGGCTCACGGCTTCTTTCTGCAGGCGTTAGTTTCTCTCTGGTTCCTTGAATATCTGTTGTTTTGCTCAATAAAGACCCAGTTGTTCGAAATATACGATATCCAGACAACTGGACATCTTCTTCCAAGGAATCATCATTTGCAGTGAGCAAAAGTTTATTGCGAGAAGTTCACATGTTAAAAAGTTCAGTTATAATGGCTATGCGCACTTATGCTCTCTACGGCTGTAGCCAACATCTGCTTACCTGGATGACCATCATTATCATTGCTCTTGGGGGAGTAGCTTGTGTACGTGCATGCATAGGACTTTGGACTCTGGAGCATACTAATTGTTTCTAGGCCGTCACTTTTGCACAAGTTTCAGGTGATGCAGCAATCTTGCCAGGAATCGGCTGTTATGAAGTATATACAGCAGAAACGTATGTCATCCTCTTCGCCATTCTGCACGCCTGCTTAAATGTTGTTGCAGAGCCGCCCGTCAGTGAATTCTAGGTCCCATTTCATGCAACTCGATAACATGACTTTATCCAAATACAGGAATTGGGCTGGCATGGGTGGCCTTCTTTGTTTTTGATTTACTTATCTTCGTCCTCACAGTGTACAGAATCTGCAAAACTAGGGGTTTACCACGATTATCTCTGACAACTACGAGAAATATCATGGATGTCATATTTCAGGATGGTGAATCATTCGTTGTATCTGTATTGTGAACATTGAATTAATGGAACACAGGTGCGATGTATTTTGGGTAAGGTTGCTACTGAACTCATGATTCGACCGAATTTGATCCGGATACTGCCTTCAGAGCTATGGCACTGATTCATATACCAAACATCCTGACATACTATGTGAGTCAACAAACTGATATCGATAGAGCTGCACAGCGCTTACAGCTTGAATCAGTCTGGTTCAGTGAGCATGCAAACTCGCACCTTCTGTTGACTATTTCGTGACAATTAGCAAGGTCGCTATCAGAGGCAGTCTGTGCAATTTCACAAGCTGGTGAGTGCTCAATGCGACAAATACGGATCGATTTAAAATATTACTTCCAGTATATCCGTTACTCTCATTTCTCGGCTGATGCTTAACCTGCACAAGACCATTCACACTGGTATTTTCTCCACCAACGTCCGGGACGACGACTACTGCCTCGATGTCCTTACCACCAGGGTAGATGTACAGTCCGCTATATCCTCTCACTATTGGTAGGCTAGTATTGAATCTTGTATCTGGATGCCAAGCTGGGAGTGAAAGTTATTTCCAAACCTTTTTTCGAAGGCAGCGCAGTGTGACAGGGTGGTGGACAACGCTGCATCTCGTGCTGGCGGCTATGCGTGCCTAAAATCTATGTTACTTCTGGCTGATTATTGACCAATTAAATTATGGACGCTTTCATCCATAACGTCATAACTTTTGATCGCTCATCTTTCGTAGACTTGACACAAACGGGTTGTTTCTTGTATGTCGTTGAGAAGACATTCATTGTCCTTTGTCAGTGATGTTGAAATTTCGATGGCTGGCGGATGTATGTAGCAGGAATTGTCTCTCGTCTCGCCATCGCATATTAAGACCGAAGTGCTTACTGCCCGGGCCACTGAGCTGCCCTGATGTCATAGTGCGAAGTTTGAAAATCGCGTTTTGTTTTCATGTGGTGACATAAAGGCATGAATAGAGGAAGAGGTGGCATAAGGCATAAAGGAAAAAAGGTGGCATAAGGCATAGGACATAAAGGAAAGGTGGCATAGAGAGAAGGGAGAAAAGGGTATATGAAGGAGTGACATGGGTTGGACAATGAATAAGAAAGTATCGGAGGTCATAAGTGTCGTACGTCATAAAGTGTCGTGAGTCATGAAATGTCATAATGCATAGAGGTATAAGATGAGTTGTGAACGGACCAGGCATGGTTATGAGCCTCGAGTGAACGATGTTGTGGATGGAGATCTGTTCGAGGCGAAGCGTCGGTGTGGAAAAGAAGTCGTAACGTAATAGGCTGAGCTGCGTGTAAACCGTGGTGCGCGATTGAGCGAAGTCCGGGGCAGAAATAATGAAATAGGCCGGAGCTAAAAAAACCGTAGTGGGCGTATTAGCGAAGCCAGGACATAATGGAATACTTAGGCCGAAGCTGCGTGTAAACCGTGGTGCACGAATGGGCGAAGTTTGGGGTAGAGATAATAAGAGGCTGGAGCTGTATGTAAATCGTGGTGTGCGAATGAACGAAGTCTGGGGCAGAAATAATGATAGGCTGAAGCTGCGTGTAAACCGCGGTGCGCGAATGGGCGAAGGTGAATGGGGCAGGTCCTTCTAGGGTCCGGACAGAGTGAAAGAGTGAGCTGGCGGGCTCGAGGCTTGGAAGAAGAGATAGGCATCGGAAAATGAAGAAAAAGGTGAAAGGGGTATACGAAGGAGTGACTTGGTTGAACGATAATAAGAAAGAGAAAGGTGAGAAGGGTATATGAAGGAGTGACTTGGGCCGGTCTATAATAAGAAAGAGAAGGGTGAAATGGATATACGAAGGAGTGACTTGGGTCGGACGATAATAAGAAAGAGAAAGGTGAAAGGAGCATATGAATGAGTGACTTTGGTCGGACGAATCGGACGATAGATGTGAGGAAAAAGAAAAAGTGAAACGGGAGGCACATACGCGATCCGGTAGAAAGAACGACGGCCGTCAGATGACAGTCCTGCGGCGTAAATAGAAAAAGAACGGGGAGATGGTGGCGCATCCGCCATCCAGTAGAAACAGCGACTGTGGTCAGACTAAAGAAATGATGAGTGAGAGTTGAACTAATGCTCAGAGAAGTTGAAGAAACGAGACTTACCGATGCCACGCTATCAAGCTTGAATGCAGGTCATTCATGATGCTTGAAGTGTCCGACGTGGAATGGGTCCACTATGTGCAAATTAGCTAGACGAGCGGGTATAAGAGTATCGAATAGCTTGAGAGGAGGTCAGGAGGGGAAAGACGGGTGTAGTAGAGGAGCGGCGGGTGCGCAGGTCTCTATTTCAGATAGAGGCAACGCCAGCGAGGACGAGGTTCGAGAGAGTGAGAGGATATCTTTTTAATCAATGTGGCCAACATCGAGCTTTTCTATAATCTAGAAAGAGAGATAATAAAAACGAGATTCTGTTGGCGAAGATATCTGCTTTACCAGTGGCGCGCGACATTGGGTGAACGAGAACAGCGAGAGAGAAGAATAGCGAGAGAAAGACGACGAGAGAACTAGACGGGATAACAAGTCGGCGAGGTAGCGAGACAGCGGGATAGCAAGAGAGCAAGAAACAACAAACGATCAGTGACCAAGACAACGAAATATAATCGTCCGTGACACGCAGATGACGGTCAGATGCGACGATAAAAGATCGTTGGCACTCGGGGGAGGTTGACAATGACGACTGACAGACGCGACGCGACGTCCGAGTCTAGGTCACGTGTTGATCTGAAGTTAAATGTTAAAGACTGCCGCAATGCAGCCGCATCATTGCAGGCTGGCAGCATCAAGTCAACTTTAAATCTCTGTCCCTAATACTTGATATGAGTCGCGGTTTCGACTCTTCCTTTGGCCCACCATCGCAGCCTATCAATGTCGCAGATTTTTTACAGCAAGCAAATTCTGCAGTGCTATCAGGATCCTTTACCAATGCCTCATGGGAGCAACTAACTCCCGAGTACAGAAATGTTGTCGAAGCAGAGATCAATGAAAGGTGCCCCTCTCCCCACTACACCATATTAGCGCTCATTGCATATCAGAGTAGCATTTCAGACCTCAAGTCATCTCTTGAACAAGTATGGGATAACCCTGTACTGTCAGCGCACGTACTGCGCCAGCATGAGTCCACAGTAGCGTCCGTGCGCGGCCAAGCAGATGTACCGGTGCCAAAAGGAAGAAAGCGCAAACGTCATGTTGCTCCAGAAGGTAGCGAATCTTCCCCAGAATCACTACAGCTCCAAGAGAAGCTTGACGCTGTCAACCTCAGGTGTTGGCGGTATGTATCTTCCACTGTATTATCACTATTTTCTTACCTCTGCGCAGATTAACCGTGGAGTCAGCGCTTTGTATGCGTGCTGCTAAAAATTCTGACTACAACGCGCTCGACGCACCCAAGAAGACAGGAACAGGCGTCCTCCAAATACTTGATCACGGGGATGTCGGCGCGACGCGTAGCTCGACACCAGACTCTCTCAGGAGCACCAGCCCCGATTCAATTTCATATCCAAACGCTGTTATTTCGCTAACAGTTTACAACCGTATATCTTATCTTCCAAGCTTTTTAACGCGCTCCTCACAACACGCTGTACTGTCAACGCAAACATTGGGTGATCTACTGCGCATCCTTCCGTGCGCCTCCAGTGATATGCCAGTGGAAGAGCTAGACGCCGAAGGAGATGTATCTGGCTATAATATCACCAACCAAACAGGAGAGCATGCAGGGTGTTTGTTCTGCATTGAGGACCTTATCTACGGAGATGGCAGAACAACTGCCGATTATGCGGAGTATGTTAGAACAGCGCCGTTGTCAACAGATTCCTAACTCCCCTTCTACAGAAAATTAATAGCTCACATTCAAAAATCGCCTGAAGACAAACGGCTACAAATCAAAAAAGCCTCGACCTCTGTCAGTGAAACCACCTTCAACGCGCTCACGTTGAGAATTCACCAACCTTACTGGATACTGCATCAAGGCAATTGCGAACACTTTTTCGTCATCGATCAGATCAGGCATGCACCGTTCCGTTTTAACCCCATAAAATCCCTAAATATCATATACAGACTCGCCCACGCTTCAGATCCGCCGTCAGGCTATCCATTGATGCTCCACCTCGCCCCAACGGTTCAAGATCTCTGTCGTGCTTGTGCGAAAGTCCCAGCTGTACATTCGATCGTGGGTGACATGCGTCTCGGTGAAAGTCCGTGCCTCTTGTGCGCACCTTGTTGGCGCACGATGGGTCCTCCCAAAAATGATGAAGGCGTGATGGTTGTACCCCTAGTAATACCTTTCATAAATCAATGAGGGTCGACCCGGTCGAGAGTCGAAACCCGAACATGATGTAGGTCCTAGTATATACAAAGTGACCCTGAAAATTAATGGGCTGAGCCCCATAACCCCAAAAGTCAATGTTCCTGAACAAACGGCCATTAACGATGATTCAGATAGGATCATGATTCATGCACATGTCCGGCTTTTGCTGCTTCTATTATGTACGTTGCTAGGTATGATAAGTAAAATGATAGTACACTGAAGTGCAAAAAGATCACAGCATCTCAAACGAGCGATGAATGTGTGGTAGCCTGTAGATCGATGAATAGTCTGTGTGTATGCGAACCACAAAACCCAAGTGAGCCTTAAAGAGAATAAAAGCGGTGCGGACCTCAACCGTCAAAAAACAAAGTGCAATTTGCGATCGAGGTCTCCACGACCACTTCACCAATTTGCTCCTCCAGAATGCCCCCTGAGTCTAGTCCCCAGCCTATCCAACCATATGTCCGTGTGTCAGAAACATAATTCGGTAAGAAGTTGCGGACCAAAGTCGCATCGAATGGATCCAAAGAAGAGGCAGTACCCTGAGTCACTAACACAGTGCCTAGTTTCGCGTTGGCCTGAAAAAAGCCCTGAAAGTACTGATCAAACATGGCATCGACTGGACCAAGGTCATTCTCCAGGCGCAACTTTATAGCCGTTGGTGGTGATGTCGGATCATGTACGAAGCTCGCTGTAGCTTGGCCATAAAAAGTACGCAGATTTGCAATGAAGTTCGGACGCTGGGGAGGACTTCTGTTGGGCGCGTTTAGCGTGACGTTGGCCGTCAGGTTGCTAAAAAAAAGTGTTTGGTCGAGAAGAATTTTTTTGAATTTATGAGCCACGAACCTATTGCCAGTGTTGACTTCGAGATATGTTGGGAAATTCGAGTCTGGATCATTGAAGAGGGAGGCGTTAACATTGATAGGTCTATAAAATATGTATCAGCCGCATGCGTTCAAAGATGAGGAGAATACATACGCCTGTATCGTGCTCACAGTAAGGGAACGTGAAGCTGCAAACTGACCAAAAATTGGCTCTAAAGATGTTTCAACCAGTATTTCGCTGGCTTCGATAGACTTCAAAGCAAATGAAAAATAAATGCATGAGGTATAAACATGACCACTTACACTGACAAAAATTCTGGAAACAGGTCCTTCTATAAAAACCTTCTCGAAATTGACATAGCCGCCAAAATCGCCAAACGTTTGAGTGAAGAAAGGTAGGTAAGTAGCAAAAGAGTCGACTTGAGCAGTTATGGATGTTTGTGGGTACAGCAGTGTGATGTTAAAGAGTAGTTGATCGTTGAAGGACATGTTATCTGGTATCTGCTTCATGTCAGTATGGGATTCGTTGCAGCAGAATAACGCTACATACATAGATAGCGAGGCCAGTGGCGTTGTTTGACAATGCAAAGCAAACCTGTGTCTGGTCGAAGAGGTCATCATTGGATGCTTGCATCTGGACCGATATGGTTGTATCGGTCACGGAGGTATTGGGGTTTATGCCGACAAACAGATCACCGAGGACAATATTCATGCTACTCGGGTACGATGCATTCGATGTGATGCTGAATCGACCGTCAGGTGATACGGTATTTAGAAGCCTAGAAAGAGAGTCATGTTTGTTCCCCCAGTGATTGAACGTAAACGCACTGTCCAACCATAGAATGTTGCGCGTCGTCGAGTTTTCCGATAGTGGCCCATCCGTTGCAACTTCCATTTGCAAGGGAGGTTGAGAGGTTGTTGATATTTGTGACGTAGTGTGTTGTAGTGATCTTCTCTAGCCAGGGAACAGCATAGTTAGAGGTGTAGGAGAATGGTTTAGTGTTTTCCTGGGAGGTCTGAGTAGTTTGAGAAGACAGGTAGCGCATAAAATAGAGATACTGACCTTAACGATGAGGGGTATGCCAATGACGATTGAAAGGATAATATACATGCCCAAAGCGGCTATGCCAGCCCTCCAGGACCTGGAGTCGACAAAGCGCCGCTTTGGAGGACATTTGTAAAAGGAGATCAAGGAGTCGTTGTTGAGATGATTGAAGGCCAAGGCCTGAGAGGTTTCATAGTCAGGCAGAGGACTGAATGGACGACGGCCTGCCGCGCGCTCTGGATAACGAAGGGCGGGAGTTGTGACGGGAGGATCCTTTGAATTTAGGAGGTCGTCTTCGTCCTGTATTATCATCCCTTCGAATTCACATATGGCCCGTTAACGAAGGTGAAAGCGACGAAAAGAACAACGATGCGAAAGGTAGTGGTAACTCACTCGGGCGTGAGAGTTGACGGCACTAGGACTTTCTTATTACGTAATAGCACCGCCCATCTCAGGGCACCAGGACTAATATCGCGCGAATCGCGACGCCGACATCACTGGATTTTTGATGGGCTAATGGATATGTCATATTCGAGCTGGGAGTATACGTCAAACCCGAAGACGTAGCCTAGTAGATATGGCGACGCCATCTTAGACGGCCCGGCTTGAGTCACCTAACAAGATGCAGTTTTTCTGTTGATCATCAAGGTAACTGAAGGCTGGACACGTTAGCACGTTTTCGAAGCCCAGACGCCCACTACAGAGAATCCTTACAAATCACACACTACAGCGCCCTGCTATTGCTTTTGTATTGCTTCTTGCACAACATCGATGTGCATCGATATATATATACCAGCCACGTCACGAGTCGCACATCGGCATATAAAATGAAAAGCTAAGATCATATTGGAACGCAACGCTACGATCTATTCGCTCGTACTAATAGAGAAGAATGACGCTGGAGGTCAGTTGAAGACCGAGAAGTCGAGACAAAACATGATTCGGTTGTTGAAACCAGGTCTACTCAATGGTAGTAAGGAAAAGACGGTAGACGTTTACCAGATACGAGTCTCCAAGAGCAGATCACTGTTACCCTCGAGCCCAATGCAGGCCTTCAAGAAGCTCTCGAGCG